CTCCGCCCCTGTCTGGAGCCTTCCTTTAATTTGGAACCACTTAGAAAAGACAAGGAAACCTTTAAAGCCCAGAGGAATGTCTCCAGGAATGCCCCCTGCCTGCTTTACAGCTGTGGCGCAGAGGCTGGTGAATGTGCTTGCTTTCGGGAGAGACTCCCGTTCAAGGGGCCTGTGGCCACAGCATCCTGCTGTAAAAATAGCTGCGGGTTGCATGGCTGAAGGAGGAGCAAGGGGTAGGATTTGTCCACCAATGGGCCAAGAGTTGCCCTAAACCAGAAGAAGAGGGACCCCCTTCCAGGTCAGGGAACTCTGCTGGGTCCTGCTCAGGCCTTTGAGGCCACCTCTGAGCAACTCTGTCCCCTCTGCTTCCCCCCCTGCCCCCTCCCATCTCTCTGACTTTGGCCTTCACACCTGAGCAGTGCTGTGGGAGCGCTGTGACCTCCCCACATTGACCTATATTCTCCCCACCTCCACCCCCTGCACCCCAGGGACAAATGTTTCCCAACCATCTCGCCTGGGGAGTTTCCACGATCCCCACCAGATATCTTGTGGCCTGGCTCACTCTGCTTTTGTAATACGAAGGAGACGGAGGCCAGGGAAGGAGCTGTTGGACCAATTTGTCAAGAGGGTGTAGCTAGTGATGGCCCACACTGCGTCTCACCAGTGTTTTCTCTTGCATTTCCCTCCTTCGGGCAGCTCGGGTGACCGCCTGCTGAGGGCCATGCTGAGCCTCCAGGAGTCCCTCCATGGTCCTGGGCCTGGTCTCAGAAGCAGGAGCTCAGGGGCATCCAGTTCTGGGAAGAGGAGGCCCTGGCCAGGGGAAGCCGGGGTGAAGCCCTGGCTGGCATCAGCTCTTCTGGTGTGGACGTGGCCACCTGCGGCGCCACACAGGCCCAGGAAGGGGCAGGTGCCTGCCACCCTCCCCCAGCCCTTCTGCTGAACTCCTGCAAGGAATTCAGGCTCCTGCCCCCAAGTCACTCTCCTTCACCAGGCCTGCTTAACTCCTCCGGAACTTGCGATTGGCCCCTCCCAGGGGAGAGAGGGCGGGGCCTGGCCCCAGCGCAGGGCAGAGCGTTCAGGGCAGCATGGGTTTCAGGGAGGTCAGCAGAGCTGGTCAGAGTCAACTGTATCAGGGATGACTTGGGAAGGTGCGCAGGATTTGGATGGGCAGAAACTTCTGGAAGCTCCCTTCTGGAACTGCTGAAAAGAGGGCTCTCATCCTGGCAGCACTAGAGTGAGTCCCCGGGTAGTAGCTTAACCTGTGTGAGCCTCAGTTTCTTCCCCTGAATACGGAATATGGATTGACAGTGAGGCTGTGTGTTTTGAACACAGCCTGTCCTGTGTTTGATAAATATTAGCTACACGTCTCATTATCGTCATCTTCACATTCCCTCCCCCCAGACGGGATCAGCTGTACCGGGGCCTGGAGGCCTGAGGCCGGCTCTAGGGACAGTTAAGCTGCCCAGTGCCGGGGGCTGGGTGGGCTCACTGCCTGAGCCAGCACTGCCGGTCCTGGCACCTGATCAGACGTGGTGGACCCCACTTGGGAGTTGACTTGGCTGGACGGAGGGGGGCTGCTGGCCTGCATTAGATGCACAGGGGACCTGCCAGGGGCAGGTGCAGGCTCAGCTTGGCATAGCTACCAAAGAATTCTCAGACCGGGATAGGCCTGGTGGGGATGGCCATGTCCGGGCATCTGTGTGGCCAGAGTGAAATAGGGATCAGAGTTTTCAATTCTCCCCTGCCAGGCTCACGTCCATTTTCTCTGATTTGTCACTTTGCTTTTTCAACTCCCTGAACATTTTCAATGCCCTGAGGGGTATGGGGTGTGGTGTCATGTGCTCTCCCTCTTATATATGAGAGGACTAAGGCTTCTAAAGGATAGTGACCCAGGGAACTCAAATGCAAGAGAAAACGCTGGAAAAGGGTTGGGCCATGTGGCAGCCTTGAGTTTCCCCAGGGGATGTGGTGGCCCTGATCTGGGAGCTGCCCTGACCTTTCATGGCCCAAGACCAAGTCTTCCCAGCTGGTTCCAGGTCTTATCTTACTGTGAGTGTTCAGCCAAGTGCTCCTTCCTGGACTCGGGTCCCCTGGCTACAGAGAAGCCGGTTGACCTGGTACCAGATCCTCCTGGCTTAGACAGCCTCTGAATCCACAGCTCTTGGCCACTCTGAATGACCCCAGACAGGTGCCTGGCAGGGAGGCCACCATCCTGTCCTTTGTCACCTTCCAAACTGTTTGGACCCGGAACACTATTTAAAGAGCTGTCCCTGAGCTGGCCCAGGCCTGCTGCAGCGAGAGGGAGCACTCCAGACCATGGTAGGCTGGGGCTGCCCTGCCTCCTCACCCTGACCTCATTCCTCAACTCTGACCTCATCCCATGACCTTGACTTCATTTGTTGATTCTGACCTTCACCTTGTTGCCTGAACTCACCCTCACCTTGACCTTGCTTCCTGACATCCTTGACCATGACCTGATATCCCTGACCCTGTCCTTTTTCTCTCCTTTGATGTCATCCCTGTACCTGGTCCACCCTGGTCTGCCTTTTACAGGAGCTAGTCCATCCATGTGGTCCTGGTTTGGGTCTCTGCTTTCCTGGTTTCTGCAGGGCTTGCCAGAGTGAAGCTCAGGGGGGTGAGGAGGTGGGTGGAGGGAGCCAGGATGGGCCAGGCTTGGTGGCTTCATGGTGGAAGAAGGGCTCTTCTCCTGCTGAGAGGACATGACTCCTGTGACTCCCCTGGGGGTCAGGGTCAGTATTTGAGGATAGCTTGGTTCTTCTGGAGCTTGCTGGGGCCTGCTTACCTTGATGCAAGGTCTTTCAGGCTACATGAGGCACCCCCTGTTCATCCCCCCCCGCACCCTACTTAACACGGTGCTCCAGCCTGTGGGTATCCCTGTAGGCTTTCAATGGCATCCTTATGCCTCTGCCTCACACATCCTATCAGTCCCTTTGGTCTGAGAACTTTGACTCAGTGTCAAACCTCAGTTCAGAAACAACCTCCTCCAGGAAGTCTGCCCTGAGTCCCCGGGTGGTACAGGGGGAGTCTCTGTGCCTCCCTCCACCAGCTTCTCTCAATTGTCTATTTACCAGCAGCTTGGGGACATGGATGGGGCCTGATTAAGTTTCTGGGTCCCTGGGACTGGGCATAGGACCTGACTGGAGGTCAGCAGATGGCTAATAAATGTCCTGAAGCTTTGAGGTAGGCATGACCTTGGCTTTATAAATGGGGTAATGGCGCTCAGAGCAGGCAACTGATTTTCTTGCATCACAGAGGCTGTGAGTAGCAAAGCCAGGATACAAACACATGTCTGGGTGACCCCCTTCTCTTCTGAGTATTCCTTTTGGGGGATTTTCAGTTTTTAGGGGCCCACTGTAAAAGGTAATTTCCACGAGAGCTGGGCTGGAAGGGATCCTGGCCGGGAGAGGTGCCTGGCGAGAGCCCTGGGCCTCAGCAGCCAGGAAAAGCACCCCATGCCTCCCAGAGGGGCCTGGAACAAGGCCTGGCATCCAGTAGGGCGACATTTCATGAGCTGGACATGAAAGCCTGGGCAGAGGCAGGGATGGGGACACCAAGGCTGAGGGCAGGTCTGAGAGGAGAAGGGCAGAATCCCCCACAGACGGAAGTGAGGGTTTTTTATTAATCAGAGGGAAATGTATATGTAATTATGTGAGATGAACTCGGCAGGGAGGTTCTTTTCTTTATGATGTCTGAAGGGATTTATAAATATTACAGAGGTTTTACAGCATCATAACGTCCTGGCCGCCCTGCCAGCTCCTTTCAAAGGATTAGTGGAGACAAAGCACCCAGTAAAAGCTAATTATAAGTCAGCCGGGCACTGCTGCTCCTGAAGTGAGCCCAGGAGCCGGAGGGAAGTGGGGTGAGTGCGGGGGTGGGGGAAGTTGGGGGGGCAGGATGGGGGAGGGGAGACCACACAGGCACTGGGGGCAGGGAGCAGGGCAAGCTCACACTCTGGAGGTGGGATAAGCAGGGGCTTGGCAAAGAGGGGGGTGCAGGCCGAGACAGAGGCAGGTGCTGGGAAGCGGGGTACGAGTGTGGAAACTCATGTCTGTTCCATTCCTTCCACCTCTCTGATCGAGTTTTGGGGCCCCTTGAATAACGATGCCCTAGTGATGTTCACCGCGGGAAAGAGACTGGGGGGTGGGGGGGCTGGACCAAGAGCTTCCAGCGAATGCCCCATCCGTGGATTCTCAGGCACCGAGGTGTCCCGCTGGAAACATGGGAAGAGAAGCTCCATGTGGGTGGCCGCGTTCGGCCTGCGGGGGGTTGCCCTGAACGCTGGATAGCTCTTTCCAAATCAGTCCTGCTCTGAACCAGGCCCAGGATGGGGTGGGGGAGCCCACAGATGGGAAGACATATAGGTATGGCCCGATGGTGTGGTGGGTTGCCCAATACTAGCGGGGAGGGGAGGATGGGGGGCTGGGGCCAGGGAAGGCTTCTCAGATGAAGTAGCAGAGAAGTTGAGCCTGGAGGAGGAGGATTCCTCCAGAAGACAGGCAGGAAGACATTGGGGTGGCTGGAATGGCAGGAGCAAATGTTGGGAGAGAAGGAAGCTCAGAGCAGTTTGGGGGCAGAATGGGGCACTGGAAGCTCTGGGGTGCGACAAAGGACAGACCTGCAGGACCGAGGCCCAGATATTATCTGAGAACAGTGATAGGGTAGCAAGAGAGGAGGGCGCCCCCATGTGGGATCTGATGCCAGGATAGGCACCCCTGAACACAGCTGGGGTACTGTCCACCAAGCTTCTGGAACCCCGGGGGCTGGCTCAGGAGGCAGCTATCTGGTTCCTTGGGGTGGACACTCCAGGCTTCTTGCTGGCATCGGGGGCCCAGGGGGAAGCTGTTTATCTGCAAGTCTTCTCTAGGAGTCTGTCTGTCTGTCCTGGCCGAAGTGTGGGCATGAGGGTTCGGGGGGAGGGTAGGAAAGTGGCTGAGGTCCCAAGGAAGAGCTTCTGCAAGGCCTTACCTGGTACCTCACAGGCACCCAGAAGGGCCCGGAAAAGAACAGAAGGTGGAGCCAGCTCCAATGTCTTCTCCATGTTTGATCAGTCTCAGATTCAGGAATTTAAAGAGGTGGGTCAGACCCCGTGGGGCCTTCAGGAGGGTTATGCATGGGGCGCATTTGGGGGCCAGCCAGGTGTGGGTCAGCCCTGGTCCTGGGAGCTGGGGAGACGACATCACTACTTTAAACCACCATGATGTCCCTAGAAGCTGCAGGTGTGACGTGCTGGGCTCCCTCTGCTCTCTACCTGAGCCTTTGCTTGTTTTGTGACCTCTGACAAGTCCTTCCACCCTCTGAGCCTCAGTTTTCTTTCTGCAAAATGAGGTCATGGTGAGCATGAAATGAAGGGAGGTGTGAAGCCTGGACCACATGCCGGTGCGTTAGCACCCAGGCCAGTTACTTGCCACGCCCATGTGGGTGTTATGCTAAGCTGGGCAGCCAAGGGCCAGAGGCACCTATGCTGAGGTCTCCAGGCAGCAGTTTGCAGGAGGAAAGTCCCCTTGGGGTGTTTCTGGGGAGGGAGCTGGGCATGGACAGGTGGGTGGGTGGCTGCTCAGTGCCCCTGTCTCTGCCAGGCCTTCACCATCATGGACCAGAACCGGGATGGCTTCATCGACAAGGAGGACCTCAGGGACACCTTTGCTGCCCTGGGTGGGTGACCAGTAGCTGGGGAGGCTTAGAGAGGAACAGAACCCAGGTCATTCAGAAAAAGTGGGTGGTTGAGGCAGGCAGAGGGTGGGTGTGAGGAGCTCTGAATGCTGTCGGGCAGAGAACAGGGTGGCTGCTGCCTGAAGCTGAGGGCAGGGTTCCTGGGTGTTAGAGGAAGAAGCACCAGAGGAGGGGAGAGGTCCTGAGGGCCCCCAGCAGATGGGCAGGGCCTAGAGCTGAGTGGAATGTGGGGGGGGGGGTAGCAGATAGAACTGGAAGATTCTGCAGACGATCCTGGGTCCCCAGCTCTGCTCTCCTGGGCTGTCAGCAGTCAGGGTTCTCTCTGATCATCATTACACTCCTGGGTGTCCCTACCTCCCCACCCCCAGGCCGCATCAATGTGAAGAATGAGGAGCTGGAGGCCATGGTGAAGGAGGCCCCCGGGCCCATCAACTTCACAGTCTTCCTGACCATGTTTGGGGAGAAGCTGAAGGGTGAGTGAGGCCCCAGTAGCCCCGGTGAGAGTTGGGAGTGAGTGGATGTGGGCAGGCCTCCTCCCCAGCCGCCACCGACGCACAGCACAGCTGGGAGTGTGATGCAGCCCAGACACCATCCTTGGAGTCACCGACCTTGCCCTGCCTCAGTTCCCACCTCTACACATCTGTAGAATGGGGGAAGCAGGCAGTGTGCGCGACCCAGAAGGACAATTTGTGTGAATGCTCTTTGCCCACGATCAGGATGAGCTCCCCGCCACCCACCTGGCCCAGGCCTCACTTTGCCTGCTCTGTCAAATGGGTGTGTTCCTTTCCAGAGGTTCCTTTCCAAATGACCGCAGACTTGCTGGCTCAGAAACACTTAATACTCGCAAGGGTGGGCACCTGCTAGAAAGTACAATGACATCTGCCCTCTAGAAGGAGGCCAACAATGGACCCATGGCCCAATAAACAGCTCCTCCTCGTGCCTCTGAGATGAGGACACTGTGGGGCAGGCTTTGAACCTGGGATGGGAGTCCCACTGAGCCCTCCTCACAGCGGGGAGGGAATTATTCCGAGGACTGGGCCCGCCTCCTTAAAGAGCTAGGGTGGGCTGGGCCTGGGGTAACTCCTGGGGAAAGGCATGACTCCAGGTAGTGGCTTTAAGGAAGCCAGAAATTGGTCTGAAGCTAAGCTGGGAGCTGTGACCCAGGGCCAGGCAGGGACCGCAAGGCTTCAGCATTTTCTCATTTTTGCAGGGCAGCAGATCTGGGGCTCTAGGTGAGCCTGTCCTGTGAACTTGTCTGCGCCTGCAAGTGTGGCCAGGGGTGGAGACAGGAGCTAGGATCAGGCCTCACCTCAGCCCTCTAACTTGATGAGAGCACTTTGTCACAGGATGCCTATCAGTGATGGCAAACAGTCTCTCTGTGGTCCTTTGATGAGATTTCAGGTCCACAAAGCAGAACCCCTCTCTGGGAGGAAGATGGAAAGGACTATCTGCCCAGCCCTTCCAGCCTCCCATGGCAGGGATGCCAGGCTGTAGTAAATGTCTGGCCACTGGGCACAAGTCCAGGGCAGCTGGTCCTCGGAAAGAGCCAACCACAAGCCTTCCCTAATGTCGAGGCCTCTTCAAAGGCCCTGGGAGGCCACAACCAGCCCCACCGTGACCCCTGGGCCACCCTCTCTCCACCTGGAAGGCCAGGCCATGAGGTCGTGGAGCTCTGCCCCAGATGGGCCCCTGCTCTGCAACCTGGGGGGCCAGCACTGTGCTGCGCTCAGTCAGACTGGGCCGGCCTCTGAGATGCTGAGTGACTCAGATACCATCCTGTCCTAGATGAGCTCCCTGTCTTATAGGTGGGGGGACACAGAGGGCCCTGGCTTGGTCTGGTGGGGGGACACAGTTGACTCTGTCCCAGTCTGATGGAGGAGGCATGGAGGGCCCTGGCTTTGTCTGACAGACAGAAACACACAGTGGCAGGACAGACAGGGGCTCTGGAGAGCCACAGAGTTGGCTTCAGGGTCTTGTTCCCCTTATAAGTAGAGACCTTGAGGCTCTTTGAGCATCACTTTCCTCTTTGACAAACTGGGGACATCAATACCTACCACATGGGGCGTTCTGGGGGCCCCATAGGACAAAATGGTAAAGCTGAAGGGTAGAGCTTGGTCCTGAGCAGTCAGGCATGTTTGTGGCTATGATTAAGAGATGCTGGTCAAGTTCTTTACTCTTAACAACACATATCTGCACAGCTGCGCAGTTGTCCATAGTGCTGTGCAGCACCCTGGGGATTAGCGCCAGTCCTTGTTTCCCTGAAACATCCCTTCTCTGGCTTCAGGTGGGCTCAGGCCTCTCTGTAGAGTGGCAGCTGGGGAGGAAGCGCCCCCTGAGCCCTTGCAAGCCCCACAGTACCTGCCCCACCTCCCCCTGCCTGTCTTCTTCTCCCTGGCCCTTACCCTGCTCCGTGTGTGGCTTCCAGGCACGGACCCAGAGGAGACCATTCTGCATGCCTTCAAGGTGTTTGACGCTGAAGGGAAAGGTTTCATCAAGGCTGATTTGTAAGTCTCCTCTGCTTTCTGTTTTGGTTTTTCTCTCCCCAAAGTCTCAGGCCATAAGTGAGCTGGGGCCGGGAGAGTCGGCCTGTCTCTGTCTTGCCTGGCACTCAGCCGGCTCGGGCAGCGTTGGCAGGGACCTGAAGGCTGCTGCCTGCCCTGCTCAGCTGCTGCTTGACACCCCTTCCCCTCTTTGGGCCTTGTGTCTGCAACTCTAGTGGAAGTGTCAGGGAGTAGGGGCCCTAGAAGAGGGCCTCCCAGTGGCAAGGGCAATGTGGGTAAATGTAGGCCTTGAAGGGTGATAGGGTGCCTGGGGCAGGGAGCACTCTGGATGCACAAACAGAGTGGTGAGGACCAAGGCGTGGTGTGTGCAGGGTCTGTGAGGAGGGGCAGCTGGGACTGAGGTGTGAGGTGGGAGAGACTGAGCACGGAGAGGTAGGCTCGGGATGGCTCACACACCAAGCCCCAGAGCCAGGATCTGCCCTGGGGCCATGGGAGAGCCGGAGAAGGTAGGCAGGAGCAACATGGAGGCCATCCTGGAGGAGGAAAAGGAGGATTATCATCGCCACGGGGGCCATGACCATCAGAATGGAGGGGAGTAGATGAATAAGGGAAACCCCAGCAGACGGCACTGATGGGATCAGGGTTCTGAGAAGAACGGGTCATGTGTCAGCCAGGGCCTGTGTGGCTATGGGGCCTCAGGAAAGGGCCAGCTGGGCAGGGATGCATAGAGAGGAGGTGGCTGTGCAGCTGACTGGTGGCCCACGGGCTGTCATTGAAGAAGTGACCCCGGGCGTCAGCCCAGCAAGAACACAGGGCAGAGAGCCAAGGTTGGCGTGCTGAAGAGAGGACCTCTGAGTTGAGCCCCGCAGTCTGTTTAGAGCCTCCAGGCCCTTGCTGGGCCCGTGAGCATCCTGGGCAAGGCATGGGCCTTCTGATCAATGACTGTGATGCTGCAGACCTTGGCTTGGAGGCTAGCTTTGCTGCCTGTTACAACCATCACATAATGGAGGGGGGTGGAAGCGGGCATGTGGTTGGGGAGGGTCTGTGTTGTCTCAGCTCTCTACCCCACTTCCCAGGAGTAGGGGAGGAGCTGCTGAGGCGTCCTCCAGGCTTCCAGCATGTCCTTCTTCACACTTCCCTTGGAGTCCATGGCTCCCACCCCATCTTAGGACCCAGGGGAGGCATTGGGGTGCAGCCCCTGGAGTAGCCCTGACCAGCTCCTCTACCTTCTCTCCCACTGGTGCCAGGACAGGACTGGGAGAATCCTGAGGGACCGAATTTGGGAACCAAGGCTGCCTCCCCCAGGATCTGGGCCCTGGGAGGCTCTGGTTGAAACAGAGACTGTGAGAAATCTCCAGCCTGGAGAGCTGGAAACTGTGATTGTCCTGCAGTGACACAAATAATGGAAAACGTATGTCGGTCCTTAGCAGGGCCTGTTGCTGCCGGCACCACAGGGCACTCTGGGTGCTTGGGGCCCAGCTCAGTGCTCTGACATTATCTGTGCTCATAGTGCTCCCCGAATCCCTCAGAGCTTCTGGGCCATCAGTCCCTCCCATGCAACTTCAAATGTGGCTTCCCCGCTTACCTCTGCACCAAGCCCAGGAAGCTCTGACCCTGTGGGCAGCTGCTCTCCTGAATGGCAGAGAGGCCAGCCCTACCCTGACACTGCAAACTGTTACACCTCCCAAACTGTTTCCCTCTCTAAAAGGGGGTGACACTACTTCCTTCCCCGGACTTGAGGAGCAAATGACACACTGGCAGGCCAGCAGGACTCACACCTGGGTAGGCTTTCCTGACCCGCTGGCTGAGTGCAAACCTCTTACACAGATGTGTGTTAGCGAAAAACCCAAGCTGGAAAGCAGCACCTTTGGAACCAAGACACAGGGCTCTGGGGGTCTCAGGTTGTAAGGCCACCCCTTGATTGGTGTTCCCCAGGGCCAGATGCCTCCCCCCTGCACTCATCACCCCTGGGATCTGTGTCCTTGGGCAGAGTAGCCCTTCCCCTGAACTTAAACACTTCTCTCCCTTGGGCAGCATCAAGGAGAAGCTCATGACCCAGGCAGACCGCTTCAGCGAGGAGGAGGTAAGTGCCCGCTGGGAGGCGCAGCCCTTCCCAGGCCCTTCTTGCGCCCCTGAGATCACTGACTTTTGGAGGCTGAGATGATGTCCCTCTTGACTCCTTGGATGAAAGCAGAGTAGATGGGACCCTGGCCTCTGTGCCCTCCACCCAATGCCTCCATCAGCAAAGAGGGGAAACATTCTGCCTGATACCCCCCTTTCCCCCCGCCCCCTGCCCGTGACCCCTGCTCTGGCCCCTGTGGGCCTGGTTCAGGCTGACTCCCTGCTCCTTCGCCAGGTCAAGCAGATGTTTGCAGCTTTCCCTCCAGACATGTGTGGCAACCTGGACTACAGGAACCTGTGCTACGTCATCACGCATGGTGAAGAGAAGGACTAAGAGCCACTGACTCCTGAAATTAGAGGCAGCAATTCTCAGGGGTGGGGAGACAGTTGAGGAGCTGCTGCAGCCATTTTGAGTGGTGAGGGAGACACCTCTCACCCTGTGGGTCTGGGGGCAAAGCAAGAATAAATAATGCTAAGGCGGTCTGGGTTTCCGTGACTAACGCTCCGGTTGGGGAGAAAAGCAAACATTCCTATGTTGTTGGTTTTTCCAAAACTTTTTATGTCCGTGGCTTTGCTCAAATGTTCCTGATGAGCTGGTGTTTAGAACTAATTGACAGTTTTAACGATCCCCAGCTGGGTCACAGGACACTGCCTTCATTTAGGAAATTTTTATTGAGCACCTAGTGCGTGCCAGACCCAGTGCCAGTCCCAAGGACACAAAGATGAGCCAGCACAGTCTCGAGTAGGAAGATCCTGCAATGAGGACAAGAATTCGGGTGGGATCATGGGGGAGAGCATGAGGGGGCAGTCCAGGAGAGACCTGGCAGCAAGGGAGAGCAAAGGAAGAGGAAGAGGGTGGATTTGAGGATTGTTCAAGGGGTATGCAAAGATTTCTGACAAAGGACACACATGGGACCAACCATCAAATAAAAGTGCATAAATTGGACTTCATCAAAATAAAAAGCTTTCATTGCGCCAAAGAAACCACGAAGAATGTAAATAGCAAGGCAGAGGGCTGGAGAGATATTGGCAACAAAAGATCTTAGCAAAGCTCTCATTTCCCAAATATACTTTTGGAAAACCCTATGCATCAATAATGGAAATATAACAATAAAGCCCCGAAGCAGGCAGGTGACCGAAAAAAAGAGTATCCAAGAGGTCAGTTAAGACCTGAAAAGATGCCACTTTCATTCCTCATAAAGAAGATGAAAAACTTCCCTAAGGCACACCGCCCCCCCCCCCAATGGCTAAAGTGAGAAAGATGGACAATACCAAGTGTTAATGAGCATGCAGAACAAATAGAATGCTTAGATTTAGCAAGAGAGCACAAAGAGTCAACCAACTAAGAGAACTGTTTGGCAGGGTCTACTAAAATCAAAATATATGTGCCTCCTGACCCTGCTCTTCCACTCCTAGGTAGATGGTACCAGAAATGTCCACCATATAACCTTTGAAAGACATCTAAGATTTATAACAGTGCCAAATTGGAAACAAGACAGGTGTCCATTGAGAGGAGAATCCATAAGTGACAGTAGGTCCAAGCATTGTCTTTTGTAGTGTTTTATTCCTTTGATAGGTGAATAATATTCCACTGTGTGGGTAAACTGTATTTGGTTTATCCATTCACCTTTTGATCAACATGAATGTTCCCCTGCTCTGGCTATGATGAATAATGCTGCGATGAACATTAATGTAAGAGTTTTTGTGTGAACGTGTTTTTAATTCTCTTGGGCACATACCTAGGAGTAGAATTACTGGGACATATGGGAACTCCATGTTTCACTTTTCTAGGAATTACTAAACTGCTTTTCAAAGCATGTTTTCAAAATAGTTAAAAGTTTTTACATTCCTACCGGTGATATTCAAATGTTCCAATATCTTCACATCCTTACCAACTTTCGTTATTTTCCATTTTTTCTTTATTAGCTTCATCCAAAATGAAGTGGCATCTTGCTGTGGTTTTGAGTAGCGTTTCCCTGCAGGTTAATAATATGGAGATTCTTCTCATGTTCTTAGTGACCATTTGTCTATTTTCTTAAGAGAAATGTCAGTTTAAGTTCTTTGCCCATTTTGAAATTGGGTTAGTTGTCTTTGTCATTGAATTCTGAGAATCCTTTATATATTCTAGATACTGGGCTCTTCTGTGATACGTGAATTGCCAATATTTTCTCCCATTCTGTAGTTCATCTTTTCATTTTCATGAATGGGGCAGCCTGGCTCTGAGTCTGCACCCATAAGCTCAGCCCTAACAGTCACCCAGAGCAGTAGGACATGGAGGTGGGCATAATAAGGAGGTTCCTTTCCTGGTCCTTCGCCTTTCTGAGCCCCCTTTTACCTCTGGAGGAGGTGGGAGAGAGGTGTCTCCATAGCCTAGCTCAGGACACAGGACCAAGTTCTGAGAGCAGGGGGTGGGGGAGACAGTGGCTGAGGAGGGGAGTATTCCAAAAGAGCTCTCCCTCCACTGGCCTTGCTCCTTCTTGCTCTCTAAGAGTGGTTTCCTGGAAATCAAGGACTCAGCTGCCAAGGAACTTGTCAGACCTGTTTGAGTCCAGCCAAGCTGGAGAGGGTGGCCTCATGGGTACCTGCCTACCTGCCTGGCAGCTAGCTGCAGGCTACCCTGCCTCCTGACACCAAAAGTCTGCCTGCCCTGCAGGGACCCAGCTTCCTGAGGACACAGGGTGGCCGGTGGGGAAGGCCAGCAGGGGCTCTGTTGGGCTCAGAAGTGGAGACTGGGGTCCATTCTTTGGCTCATTCATTCCCCTGCCCTTCAGTCATCCAGAGAGATCACTAATGTCAGTAACACCCCTCTCTGTCCTCACAGGGTTGGGGAAGGGTAGGCCACAGATGTGGTGTGCCCTAGCTCTAGTGGCCTAGGGAAAGGAAAGTGGGCCTGCAGTAGGCCTGCAGGGAGGGCTGAGCCCCTGGAGAGTGATAAGCCACTGTGAGCTGTCGGTGGCTCTGAGGCCTCCCCTCTGCCTCTCCATTGCATCACTTGCTCGTCTGATGGCAGAGAGGTGGACGGAACTCCTCTCCCTCCAACTGGCCTATTGGTGTTCTTGACTGAGGCCACTACCAGCTGCCTTTAGTCTCCATGACTCCATCTAGTTTTCCAGGGTTGGCTCTCCCAAATGGGGCCCCCCATTCCTCCTCTGGCCCAGGCAACTGGGGTGGTTCATAGGGCTGTCCCTTTCAGGTGTGGGGGCAAAGGCTCCTGAAGTCCTGAGAGATACTGGGAGAAGCACATATGCTGATGCCACCCTACCTTGCCTGAGTCATACCTGGAATCACCATTTTAAAAGGTACAAGATTTCCTTGGGGCCTCCCTAACCTTCTCCTGCGCCACCACCCTCTCAGCTCTGCGCTCCAGCTGCATAACTTGATTCAGTTCCCTGAGTGTCTACATTCCCTTCTGCCACAGGGCCTTTGGATAGGCTGTTTCTTTCCACCTGGAACACTCTCTCATCCAGCACCACCCCCTCTTTTGCTCAGTTACCCCTGATGTAAATTTTGCTCTTGGCTCAACATCACATCCCCAGGCCCTGATGCCCAGAGTAAGTCAGATCCCTTTCCATGCATTTTGATGGCACCCAGCATGTTTTCTGGGGGAGATGTAAGCGGTGGCTATCTTCCCCATAGGGCTACAAGCCCTTGAAGGCGAGATCAGGTTGGTTTTTGCCAACCACTGTACTCCTGGCACCCTGCACGGGACCTGGTACATAGCAGATTCTTGGGAAACATTTAACTAACTGTACGAGGCCCAGAGAGCAGACCCAAACCACACACAGTCTCTGGAGACAGCTTCCAGGCCAGTTACTCAGGCCCTCTGCCTGCAAGATGACACTCCAGCCAGAGGCTGAGTGATGCCAAGGCCTGTAGTCAGTCCAGGCCACCCCTGGGGCTCCCCAGGGCCCACCCTGTCTGTCTGTGTCTTAATCTTCTAAGAAGAGGACCCCCTGGCACTTGGGGTGCCATCAGCAAAACCTGGCGTTGTGGCCATTTTGGGCCTACCTGGCATGCTGCATCAGCGGGATCTGTCTCGTGAGCTGAATAGACTGGCTCTCCTGGAATTCTCTTGGCCCTAAGCAGGGGCTGGTAGACGATGGGCAGTCAGCCCAGGCAGGGACAAGACAGGCCTTCGTGTCCCCAGGGAGCTGGATGAGGGATCCGGCCCTGCCCTGGCCCTGCTGGCTCCGCCAGCCAGCTGGGCCTCATTGAGGGTAATTAGCCCAGCGAGACGCCCGGTCTTGGCGTTTCATTTTCCACTATGATCTGTCAGCCGGGGCCTTCGGACAGTGGCCCCCGTATAAATCACAAGGGGGTCGCTGTTAAGAGAAACGGCAAATTCCTTCCACCCGTGTGGCTGGCTAAATTGACTCTGAGGGCAGATTCCCTTCTGGCGCTCACTCAAGAATGGCCAAGTTCTTTGAAGGTCCTTCCAGGACGGACCCCAGGGGCCTGGAGCCAGCCGGGCGGGGAATCTCCCCCGGAGCCTCTGTTGACCGCAGGAGGGCGGGGGCACCTCCAGAACTCTGCCTGCCAGGCACCACCATCACTCCACGTCCCCATGGCAACCCTGGGGGTGACTACTCACCTTTTTAACAGCCAGAAAGTGGCTGGGGTGGTGGGCTGCTGTTGTCCTCAGTGAGGGACACCAGCCCTCAGAGCTGTGAAACCTCCGGACGGAATTTCAGGCTTGGGGTGGTGAATTTCATGCGGTGGGGTTCCGAGGGGATGCCCCAATAGTCACAGAGTCTGGTGGGAAATTCTATCCCATTCCTGCTGCCAGCCAAGCCCTGGGCTGGGCCAAGATTTCTGTCTGGCTGAGAATTAGTCTGGTGCCCCAGGGACCCCCAAATGTCTGTTTTTGTGCATTTGTCTCATCTTCTCTCTCACATAAAATTCACCTTTGACCAAAGTGGGGGGATAAAAATCTTGCAGACTTTTGCAAAGGTCAGTGACCTGTGCTGCTCTCGAGCCTGACGGCCTGAGTTTGCATCTGGCGCCACCCGTTCTAGGTAGGTGACCTTAGGCAAGTCATTAACCTCACTGTGACTCAGTTTCCCTATTTGGAAAATGGAGCTAATAATAGTGCTAACCTCACAGGATGGCTCCTTCCTTCATGCATGCCGGGCCTGGGGGTCCAGTGAACAGAATAGATATCATCTCGTCTCTCACGGAGCCTGCAGCCGGGGGAGGCAGACACTAAGACCAGTGAGGACATTATCATGCAGGAAGGGCTGAAGATGGCAGAGAGGTGGAGAGGTGGGGACTTACCTTTGTAGGTCATGGCGTTTTGTCCCAGAAGTGAGACAGCCAGCTAAAACGGAGTCATTGTGTATGTCGTGTTAGTTTCTGTTTACGGCATGTGGAACTGGCTTTTCACTTTTGGTAGTGAGGTGTTTAAAAAGATTTCTTTCAAATAAATGCACATACATTAAGGAAACGATTAATGTAAGCAATATTTAGCAACA